CCTACCGTCACGCGTCTGCTTGCTACTGTCGTCACTGACCCCTCTTTTGAGTCCACTGCTGCGTCTGCTCTAGTCACTGAGCTCGTTGACTTTGCTGCTCGCTGTCGTCTCGACTACGCTGCTGGTCTTGTTGCTGAGTCTGCGTCTGTCTGTCCTCCGTCCGTCGGGGGTGAGTGTGCTCTTAGCACGGACGTCCTAGAGGACAGACAGGAGGAGTTACAGTGTCTAGCGGCTGCTTCACCTCATCTCGCGTCTGTACTGCTTGCCCCTGAGGGAGACCCGGATGCACTAGACATCCCGACTCCGCGTTCTTACGCGGAGGCCGTAGAGGGTCCCTACTCCTCTCAGTGGCAGGCAGCTATGGATGCAGAGATGGCTTCCTGGAAGTCCACAGGCACCTACGTTGACGCAGTTCCCCCTCCTGGGGCGAACATCGTCAGTGGCATGTGGATCTTCCGGGTGAAGCGGCCGCCGGGCTCTCCACCTGTCTTCAAGGCGCGGTACGTTGCTCGTGGCTTCAGTCAGCGGCAGGGAGTTGACTACTTTCAGACCTTCTCTCCCACCCCGAAGATGACCACTCTTCGGGTGCTGCTGCACATAGCCGCTCAGCGCGACTACGAGCTTCACTCTCTCGACTTCAGCACTGCGTTCCTGCAGGGTAGCCTGCACGAGGAGATCTGGCTGCGCCGTCCACCTGGCTTCACTGGGACTTTCCCTCCTGGCACCCAGTGGAGCCTCCGACGGCCAGTCTACGGTCTCCGCCAGGCACTGCGTGAGTGGCACGACACACTGAGGACTACGCTTGCGGCTCTTGGGTTTGCTCCTTCTACTGCTGACCCGTCGCTGTTTCTGCGCACCGACACTTCACTGCCGCCGTTCTACATCCTCGTGTACGTCGACGACTTGGTCTTTGCCACAGCGGACACTGCTGGACTCGCCTACGTGAAGTCCGAACTGCTGAAGAGACACACGTGCACAGACCTGGGTGAACTGCGCAGCTACCTTGGCTTGCAGATCACTCGGGACAGAGCACGCCGCACCATTACCTTGACTCAGTCACACATGGTGCAGCAGGTCCTTCAGCGCTTCGGCTTCACGTACTCCTCGCCTCAGGCCACTCTTCTGTCTACTCGTCACTCGCTCTCAGCTCTGCCTTCGGATGAGTCCGTAGAGTCGAGTGGCCCATACCTAGAGCTTGTTGGCTGCCTCATGTACCTGATGACCTGCACACGACCTGACCTTGCATACCCTCTTAGCATTCTTGCACGCTATGTTGCTCCTGGGAGACACCGACCAGAGCACATGGCTGCAGCGAAGAGGGTATTGCGCTACCTGTGCAGTACGTCGGGCATGGGGCTAGTGCTTGGAGGGCGGAGTCCAGTGGTACTTACAGGTCACGCGGACGCTTCTTGGGCTGACGACCAGGCTACGCAGCGGTCGTCACAGGGTTACACCTTCAGCCTTGGCTCCGGCTCTGTCTCGTGGCGGGCTACTCGCTCGTCTTTGGTTCTCAGCTCGAGTTGTGAGGCTGAGATCTAAGCCGGGGCCATGGCTGCACAGGAGCTTCGTTGGCTCACCTACCTGCTGACTGGCCTTGGAGAGCCGCCTCGTTCTCCTCCAATGCTATACGTAGACAACAAGGCCATGCTGGCCTTGTGTCGAGAGCAGCGTCTGGAGCATAGAACAAAGCACATTGCTCTTCGCTACTTCCTTGCTCGTGAGCTACAGCAGCGTGGACATTTGCGGCTTGCGTACGTGGCCTCTGAGGCCAACACTGCTGATGTGTTCACCAAGGCACTCGCGCCTTGTGACCATCAGCGCTTCTGCACCCAGCTGGGTCTTGTGCTTGTCTTGCCTCACTTGCTCTCCTCTTGACTTTACTTGTATTGTCACATATATATACCTACTCTTGCTTGTCTAGCTTTATATATATATGTGTGTACTCCTGCATGTGAACTGGCCTTGTGGCCTTGCTCTTGTGCTCGGACTGTGTGGTGACTTTGTGATCCACCCTGAGCTTTGCTTTGCTTTGCTTGACTGGTCTTGTGACCCCTTGTTCTCCCCCACTTTGCCTATGGGGGTGTGTCAAACATTATATATGTTATGCTTGTGTAGGCTACAGTGGGTTAGCCTATAGGGGGTACACAATTCTAGGGTTTCCTACTTGTACTCATTTCACTGCTAGTTCATTCATTCCTGTTCGCTTATTCTCACACTTGCTTTCGCACCCACCCTCGCACTCACCTCGCACTCGCACTCGCACTCGCACTCACTCACGGTCAACCACACACTTGCTCACCCAGGCAATCAGCCACTTACCCATCGTTGCGCTCAGTCACACACTCATCCTCGGCCAAGCACTTACCCTCACACTCAGCCACACTAAGCCACACACTCGCTCACGCACTTACCCTTGCACTCAACCTCTCCCTCACGCAGAAAGACGGCACTCACCCTCTCACTCACCTTTGCAGTCACCCACGCACTCGCTCACTCACTCACTCAGCCTAGCACTCACTCGCGCTTTGTCACGCCATCGCATTCACCGTTGCACTCACTCTCGGACTCACCTACGCACTTACCCACGCACTCACCAAACACTCAACTTTGCATTCAGCCACACACCCACTCATACACTCACAATCGCACTCAACAACTCACTCACACACGCACTCACTCTCGCGCTCACCATTGCAATCAGCCACACACTCCCTCACTCACTCAGCCACCACTCAGCCATGCACTCAGTCTCGCACTCACTCACGCTCTCAACCACACTCATCCATGCGCTCACACAAGCATTCACGCTTGACCTCAGCCACACATGCACCTTCGCACTCACTCAAACACTTATCTTCTTACTCTCCTTTGCGCGCACTCACACACGCAGCTACGTCTACTAGCTCACGCGAAAGTGGCCTAAAAAGGCGCATATGAAACTCACATGGGAACAGGTTGGCGGAGGGCGGACAGAAGCGGAAGGTGGCCATGTTAGCCACTTGTTGGGGACAAAGCTGAGTGGGGAGAAGGAATGGCATATCGGAAAGGGGAGGTTAGAGAGAATAAATGATGTGAAATTTGTATGAAATAAAAAATTAACCTTGCAACGAAGTTTAAAATAGAAGCTTAGAGGAGGGGATGGATCATGGAAGTGATTGGTGGGGGGAAGAAAGAGGCACGAAACCAGCAATTGGTGTGCAATAATACAGAAAGGTGTACGTGTAGAGGACTGGATGGGGCATGAGAAGGGAGGGAAACAGCGAGAGTGACAAACGTGAGTAAACACGAAGCAAGGACGATGCAGCCTTCGCGCTTTGGCGCCAGTGCCTACAGCGATCAAGGCGCCAGCGAAAAAGGCGCCAAGGCGCCAGCGAATAATTCGCAAAGGCACCAGCTAAAAGGCGCCAAGGCGCCAGCGAAAAAGGCGCCAAGGCGCCAGCGAAATGGCGCCAAGGCGCCAGCGAAAATGGCGCCAAGGCGCCTGCCTCAAGGCGCCAGCCTTGATGGCGCCAAACGCCTCACCAGCGCTAGTAGCACCTACCGGAGCAATTGATGAGGCACGGTAGAGGAGACTTTTGTTGAAGGTATTTACCAAAGAACGAAACTGAACCTAGTACTGCTCTGCCAAAGTTTGAACAATCTTGGTAGAAACGAGAAGCTTTGATAAGATTCAAGAATAGAGAAGCAAGAACGAGATGACTGAAACAAGAAACGGAGTCTGTTGCTTGAATGGTGTTCGACCTCATCGCGATAGTGGGCATCGATGGAGCAAGAAACGTTGAGCAAGAAACATGCGCTTTGGAGCAACAATACGTAGAACCAGCGCCAGCTTCAGCGCGTTACGTTCCAGCATGTACGAGCACGTGAAATTCAGCTGACTCAGCTGATACACTAAAACGCATCAGCATTTTCGTCAGCTCAACAAAACGCGGCGAAAGTGAAAACGAAACCCACATACGGTACCCCATATTAGTCCTAAATCATTTCTCTACACTGTAAGTAACCACGAAGTACATGCTTATATTCTTCCGTCAAAACCCTCATGATTGGGCATTCGGTGTAGATAGAGACGAAATGCAATACGTATAATACAAAACGACTGAAGAGGGTGGGAGAAAGGTACAGATAAACGTAAGTGGATTTGAAAAAAAAAATATACATCTTTGTTGCGTTATCCTAAGTACCGGTATTCATATTCTACGCAACCCTTACGACGTTCATCGTCGAGCCTTGTACGGTATATTTTAGTCTTAGTTGGCCTAAGTCAGGCATACAGTCATGAATGTGTGACAAGTCTGGATATGACCACATATACAATTGTGATAAACGGTTGATCTTTCTCAATAGCCTTCTTTAAAAATACCACACCAGCCAAAAACATATTGCCCTGGTACTCGCATTTATTTTTACAGGCAAAGGCGAATCCATAGTACGAAACCGAAGTTCAACAAAAAAACACCCAGGATATTTAGTATCAATTTGAAGATACGTATCTATGGTTGTATGAAACCTATACGAGACAACACACACAAATCACAGATTTATTGCTCTAAACTAAGCCCAATCCATTCATAATAATATTCTATGAAGGGCTTATGCTGTACACAAGCATTTGCCTGGTAAGCATACGGTACGTACAACAGTTCGTGTATGTGCCTATAGCGAGGCAAGAGAGAGCTTTCATTGCATTACTATGCTCCTATCAAAACCTTTTGTGGTTTGCTACAGTTTAGCCCGCAGCTGATCCCGCTGCTCCTGCTCCTGCTCCTACTCCTTTGCTCCTGCACCCGCTTGTTTGTCTGCTCGGCCATTCGCCCCACCTCCTTCTGCTCTTGTAGGTCACGTAGGTGGGACTGCGACTGCTGCTGCGCTCTCATCCCCATTCTTAACCATGTCAACACTCTTCTCCTGCAGCTCCTGCACTCGGCACTGCTGCTGCGGCGGCGTCAGTCATCCCAATACATGCCCTCACTCGTTAATGGCCAAATCTGAGAGGCGTCTCAACACTCGCCTCCCTCTTCTCTTGCTGCTCCCACACTGGGCACTGCTGCAGCAGATGATTCAATCCCATACATGGCCCCGTCACCAGATATCGTCGAGCTGTGCGTTGCATTGGGAGAGGACGAGAGGGAAGAAGCCTCGATGTCCTTCAGCTGCTCCTGCAGGGCCACCATCTCTTTCTGTTTGACACAATGGGGAAGGGGGGCAAGAGGGGAAACAATGGGGATGAGCAATGAGGGAAGAAACCTAGAGGTCCCCTTGGGTCATGGGGAAAAAGGAAGTGGAAAGGGAAGTGGGGAGCAAGGAGAGAGGTCGAGGGGCGTTGATGAGGTTGGTGACATGGGGCAGAAGGATTCAGAGCAGGGGGGTTCAGGGCAGGAGGATTCAGGGCAGGAGGATTCAGGGCAGGAGGATTCAGGGCAGGGAGTTTCGGGGCAAGGGAACTCAGATACGGAATGACTTTTGAGTCGACTCAGAATTCAGGTACGGAATGACTTGTGAGTCGACTCAGAATTCAGGTACGGAATCTCAAGGCAGGGAGATTCAGGACAGGAAGATTCAGGGCAAGGGGATTGATTTAGGGCCGAAGGGCGGCTAAGTGAAAGACGAGGTTTGCTAGAGGATGGAGGTACCTGGAGCAGCCAGATGACCCCCACGAAGCCTTATACCGGGTCTCGAAAGACAAAGAGGGGGGAGGGGGGAGGTGCCCATTTCTGAGGCACGAGGGGTTTCTAGGAGGTTTGTGAATACATATGGAGAAGAGGGAAGAGGGGTGTACCTGTAGCAGGCAGATAACTCCCACGCAGGCGTACACCGGATCTCTGAGCCTCGTGGTTGAGATGTCTCAGAGGAGCGGATAAGGGGGCTCATGACAGGGAGGTAGGTAGGGAGGGAGGAGCGAGAGTGGAGAGTGGGATGTACCTGCAGCAGGCAGATGACTCCCACGCAGCCGTACACAGGGTCTCTGAGCCTCGCCTGTGCCTCGTACTCCAAGCTTGCCACTGCATCCTCCCTCTGTGCCACCGGGATGTCCTGTAAGGGGAGCACAGTCGCACAACAGACAGTAGGAGCAGGAGGATAAGAATGAGAGGAGAGGCAGGAAAATTTGTGAGATGGGTCTCTTTAAGCGTCGCCTGTGCCTCGTACTCCAGACTGGCCGCTGCATCCTCCCTCTGGGCCACCGGGATGTCCTGTAAGAGGGAGGGAGGGAGGGGAGGAAGACACAGGAGACAGGAGGAGAGGCAGGTGAGTGGGAGAAGCTGAGGGATATCAGGGCTTTTTCACGATTGAACGGGTCTCTTTAAGCGTCGCCTGTGCCTCGTACTCGAGACTGGCCGCTGCATCCTCCCTCTGGGCCACCGGGATGTCCTGTAAAGAGGGAGGGAGGGGCAGAGAATGGAAGGGGCCGGAGCGGCAGGATGACAGAGAGAGGCAGGAGTGTGGGATGAGCCTTTCTAAATTGAAGTGCAGCCCTATTTATTTAAAAATGTTGTCCATGTTACATAACAAGGATTACTTGCGATTCCATCAGGGTTGCCCGGCACTTTGTGATAAGGCTCAAGTGCTATGTTGTAAGGCCCAGGCTAACCTGTGAAAATGTAGGGCTCACCTGCTAGGTTACTATATATTTCTGTAGTAATACAAACTAAATGTTCAAGCGCAAGTCAATCTCAGTAACACCTCAATGTGACTCACGTGTAGACTCTGATGACTTATGACCTTTCAGTATATCTCACCTTCAATGCTCACCTGTAACATCGTTCACCTTTCTGAGTAGCGAGGATCTCACCCAGTCACGCCCTCCTTTCCCGACACCCACGAGGACAGCACGCTGCACAACTCGAGGGGGGGTTACCTGTAACATCTTGGAGTTCGTTGTTGGCGACGAAATCGGCGAAATATGATTGGGCGTTCGTTACTCCCAACCTTTACCAACACTTGCAACAGCCGCACCGCCCACCTCACCTGCAGCATCGTCACCTTGCAACTTTCTGCGGCAGCATCCGTACTTCCCGCTATATCACCTAACGAGAGGAAACACTATCCTCGCAGAGCCTCAACCGCAGCACCACGAAAATCTTCTCCTGCCGCTTGCATTTCCCCTCTCCCCTCTGTGAAACTCACGATAGGGCCCCACGCAAAGTACTCCTCGAAGCGTCACCGCAAGGGCGTTTCACCTTTCGTGACGTTACTGGCGCCGAACACTTGGTGCGCCACGCCACGAGGAGCTTCCCCTTCATATACCCATTTCACGGTTCCCCTGTATTTCCCCCCCCTAACAAGGGACTCACTTGCAGCATCTTCGACACGTTGCTGGCACCGAACACCTTGTGCACCACGTGGAACTTCCACGTGGAACACTTTATGACATTTATTCCCTTTCCCGGTTTCTTCATGTTCCCCCGCACAAGGGACTCACCTGTAGCATTTTGGATACATTGCTCGCGCCGAACACCTTGTGCACCACGTGAAACTTCTCCGGCTGGTTGCGCGGGAAGTACGGCAGCAGCAGGCACTCGCGCGTGCACTTGCGCCGCAGCGACTTGCACGCCGCGCACGGCGGATCCTTCGCCGCCGCCGCCGCCGCCGCCGCATCTGGCGCCGCTGACGCCGCTGCTGGTGCGGTTGCTCCTTCTTCTGCTGCTGCTGACGCTTGTGCTGCTGGCGGCGCTGCTGCTGGCGGCGCTGCTGTTGGCGGCGCTGGAGATGATGCTGACGCGGGAACGGTCCAAGCCGGTACAGCAGGAGCAGCAGCAGCACCGCCGCCGCCGAAAGCAGGAGCAGCGGCAGAAGGGTGAGCAGGAGAAGCGGAAGGAGGAGGGGGAGGAGGGGCAGGTGAGCCGCTTGCAGCGCCGAATGGCACGGCGGTAGCAGCAGCTGTTGGCGTAACAGGGTGCGCGGCGCAGGGCGCGGCAGCTGGCGCGGCAGGTGGCGCAAACGGGGGAGTAGGAGAACCTACGGGGGTGGTCGTTCTTTGCGCCCCATAGTCATTCGCGGCCGGCGGAAAACTCATACCGTTCCAGGAAGATTGGCGGGCCGCCGCGGGGGAATAGTCTCCGCTGGCAGGCGCGCGGGAAAGGTCTCCGCCAGCCAGAGGCGAGCCACCCCCGCTAGGCGAGGGGGAAATGCCGCCGCTGTATCCAGCGCTGCTGAATGGCGGGGCGGCACCGGCGCTACTAGTCATTTGCGCCGTCCCGGGAGGCGGGCCCCCTGGCGCAGCTGTGCCGTGCCACGTGTTGCTGTTCGTCTGAGCCGTGCTGGATGCACCCTGCCACGAGGTGGTACAGGGGGAGGGCGTATTCGGCCAGTTGCTGCTGGGGGAGGGCGTATTCGGCCAGGTGCTATTCATCTGAGGAATTGACAGAAGCTTTTGCTGTGGCTGCTGCTGAGGCGGCTGAACCTGCTGCTGCTGCTGATAATGCTTATTCTGTTGTTGCTGATGCGGCGGTGCTGGCAGTGGTTGAGAACGGTTCTGCTGTTGCTGCTGCTGCTGCTGCCATGGTTGTGACTGCTGCGGCGGTTGCGGCTCATAAATCGGCGCGTACTGCGGCGGTTGTTGCGGCTGGAACGACGGCGTAGTCGCAAAAGCAGCAGTGGCGCCGCTGCTGTGAGTCATAGCGGTAGATGACGAAGGGAACGCTGACGTGGAATGCGGGAACTGTGACGTGGACTGCGGGGAGAATGCTGCCGATGTGGCACACGCGCTGTGATTCGGATAAGCAGTGTTCGCGCTTGTACCGAGGGACGCATTGCCGGTGCTTAAATCGAAAGGTACAGTACTCGAAATAGGCTGGGGAGACGATGATAACGGAGCAGAGCCGGACGAGTAACCAGTCGAGTAACCAGCGGAGGAGTTACCACCCATGGAGTAACCAGACGAGTAACCAGTTGAATACGTGACGACTGAAGACGAAGACCCCATTGACTGCTGTTGACCAGGGAACTGCGGCGCGTACTCCTGCTGCTGCTGCTGCTGCTGCTGCTGCTGCTGCGGCTGCTGCTGCTGCTGCTGCGGCTGCTGCTGCTGCTGCTGCTGCGGCTGCTGCTGCTGCTGCTGCGGCTGCTGCTGCTGCTGCTGCGGCTGCTGCTGCTGCTGCGGCTGTAGCTGTTGTTGCTGCAGCTGCTGATGCTGCTGATGCTGCTGATGCTGCTGCTGCGGCTGGGATTGAAGTTGTTGCTGCTGGGGGTGCAGCTGTTGCGGCTGGGGTTGCTGTTGCACCCAGTACCCCTGGTTTCCACTGGTCGAGCTTTGCACACCATATCCGCCTCCACCGTCGCAAGTCTCGCCGGTATGGCCGCCAATACCACTACAGGAACGCACTCGCCTGGAAGGTTCCTCGTACGGTGCGGAGTGCTCGTGATCCTGGCGCATTTGATTCGGAGCTGGTTGAATTGGTTGGCCTGGTTGAATCTGCTGAATTGATTGCATCTCCATGCGTGGTGGAGTGTAATCTTGTTTACTGATAGTCGACGTAGCTGTGGCGGAGAGATGTTGACTCGGCTGAGTTTGTTCAATCGGTTGAACCCGTTGCGTTTGAGGTGTTTCGAGAGCCGAGTAGAATGAAGAGTCATCAATGGCCGTCTTAGGCGATGGCAAAGCGTCGAAGCCCCAGGATGGCGAAAGAGGGTAATCGATGGCCGGCTTTTCGAAGGTGTTCGCTAACGGATCGTTCGCCAATGGAGCTCCATTGCACGAGCTGTAGTGTCCGCTGGATGCATCTCCGTTGAACGCGCCGTACTCCGCGGATTGAGTGCCACGTGGAGGGATTTGGAGCGCAGGCTGAAATAGCTGCTGTTGGTACTGCTGTGGCTGATGCGTTAGCAGCGAAACCGTCATTTTCGCCGCTTTATACTCGTTTCAAAGGTGAGACTTAACCGTTTTTACTTTGTGGCAGTTTCAGTTCGTGGAAAGCTGTGTTCACCGAATACGGCGCCAAGAAGAGAGCTCCTGGGAACACAGGAGCTTTGAGACGTCTCAAAACTCATGCGACCGCATGAGGAGTCTCCAGCGGCGAGCAGCGACGCGTTACTAGTTCGTCTACGACATTCCTTGGCCGCCGCTTTCCGGAATCTCTATACTTTTCTGCAAATCTGTCAACTAGAACTCCCGACTCATTCCACACATTACGAAGCCGCAGCTCCAAGCTGTTTCGGAAGCGAAGGAGATCATGGAAAGATGGAAGGATGACTTCGGTGGTTGTGTAGGGAAGAATTCCGACTGGAATAAGGGGCGAATAAGTGGGGTGAAGAAGAGCTAGGGCCAGGACCTGGGGCAAACCTGGGAGCCCACCACTCCATGCCCCAAATTCGGATGGGCGTGGTAGAACATGGGTCGTGGGGATGGCATACATGCGCTTCGCGGTGTAGATGGTGGAATCTTGCAAGCACGCACATGTTTGTGGGGAGAGGGGCGAAGCGAAAGCGTGTGCGAATGGGGACGTGTGGATGTGCGAAAGATGGGGTCATGGAGTGCGGGCGCGGTACGGATGTATGGTGCACCCGCCCTTCCATTCGCGCGACGTGGCGGCGAATTCCAGAATGCTGGATTCGTCAAGCGGTTCGCAGCGGCCTTTTGCGAAGGAAAGCATGCGCGGCAGTGGAGGAATCCCCATGCGAGAACACAGCGGCGAAGGCTAGCGAGCCTTTCAGGGTTCGTGTTCCATCGCTCGGTCATTGCCAGATCGGTTGGTCTTGTCAAATGCTGCGAATTCGTCCCTCTGGTTGGTTGCGACGAGACGGCGACGATGATTCGTTTACTCTGTCAGCCCACAAAAATTCACAGGTTTTGGGAGAGGAGAAGTGGCGCACTCAATTCGCCGCCTTCGCACGAGCACGTGGCTTGAAGCTGGCGTGTCTCTCTCTCGCATGCCGCATCGCCACCCAACTACCTTGACTTTCCGATAAATATTATGTTTTGATTTGGTGGGTGTAGCTCATGGAGACTAACTCATAGTTGTATGTCCCCCACAATTTAGACATCACCATAAGTGTGCCAATATTCTGCTTCATAAACATTTCCGTTAGTAATATACACACAACGGGGAAAAAAAAGACATGGTACGCAAGAACTAGAGTGTCAAGAGCTGGAATTAGACCCCTGCTTCTGTTTATGTGCTTTGCGCCCAGCTTCAATCGCTTCTCTGCAAAACAAAAACAGACCGACCAAGGCAACATGTGTAAGAAACTAGGATACAAGCCAAAGGATGACGCTGTAGTGCTTATGTAAATTCACCACTTACTGAAATGCTGCCGTGAGATCCATGTTATTCGGATCGACTTGAACCCCTTCGAAGAACACATTCGCTGCATCCTCGTAACGCTGCAGCACACCGAACAGTAAAACTAAGAACACCATACAGTGCGGAAAAAAAAAAGAAGGGAACCCTTCTGATTGAATCTGTTCACTCTCTCCCAAATGCCCCCTGGACCACTGGGCCCTTCCCCCCCCCCCCCCCCCCCCCCCCTCCCTCTCCCTAACTTCTCCCCATTCCCCAACGTGAAACCCCCTCTCATACCCTCCCCACCTCCATGGCTCTGAACACACTCCCTTCTCGGAAGTAGGCCTTGGGCCAGTCGGGCCGCAGCGACCTACTCATCTGCCCGTCAGCCCATCTCCCCGGGCGCCTGTCCTACTCCTCCCTTCTACTTCTACCTCTTCTCTCTCCTTCTCCCCCTCTTCTCCTCCCGAGCACTGCACCCATGGCTCCAGACCCACTCACCTCCATCGCTTTGAAGGCAGTCCCTTCTTGGAAGAGACTTTTGAGTCGACTCAAAAGTCACCATGGCTCCAGACCCACTCACCTCCATGGCTCTGAAGGCAGTCCCTTCTCGGAAGTACGCCTTGGGCCAGTCGGGCCGCAGCGACAGACTCATTTGCCCGTCTGCCTACCCCTCCCTTCCCTCTCCCCACTCCCTGCTTCCTCCTCCCCTCTCAGCACTCACCTCCATCGCTCTGAAGGCAGTCCCTTCTCGGAAGTAAGCCTTGGGCCAGTCGGGCCGCAGAGATCGACTCATCTGTCCGTCTGCCAGGGCGAGGGGCGCCTGTCCCAATCGCAGCCAGCAGATGCTGCGGTTGGCCAGCAGAGTGCCTCTCATGACCCTGTCGTCCGCTGGGGTTGCTGGTAAGTCCGCCTTGGGGTACAAATCCACTGCCTGGTGATGGGCCATGGGGGTGGTTGAGGGGTGGAGGGACAAAGGGTTTAGGGTCAGCCAGCAGATGCTGCAGTTGGCCAGCAGAGTGCCTCTCATGACCCTGTCGTCCGCTGGAATTGCTGGTAAGTCTGTCTTGGGGTACAGGTCCAGTGCATAGAGAGGGGGGTTTGGGGTTGTGGAGAAGGGTGGAGGGGGTTATCTGCCTAACTGCTCATCTGCCCGTCTGCCAGGGCGAGGGGCGCCTGCCCCAGGCGCAGCCAACAGATGCTGCAGTTGCCAGGAGGGGGCCATCCGCTGGTGTTGCTGCAAGGCCATCCGCTGGTGTTGCTGCAAGGCCATCCGCTGGTGTTGCTGCAAGGTCCTCCCCTGGTTACATACAGATGCAGGGCTTGGAAAGGGTTTTGGAATCCAGTTGGTTAGCAATAGAGCTTTCGAGGCGACTCAAAGACGACTTTTAAGGCGCATCAAAAGCCATCCGCTGGTGTTGCTGCAAGGTCCTCCCCTGGAGATGCAGTTCTTGGAGAGGGTTTTGGAATCCGGTTGGTTAGCAATAGCGCTGGGCTTTAAGTTAGGCATGAAAGCAGAGCCTACCCCCTCCAAAACCCACACACACACACACACACACACACACACACACGCACGCACGCACACACATACACACACACACACACGCACGTACGCACGCACACACGCACACACACACACACACACACACACGCACGCACGCACGCACACACACACACACACACAAACACACGCACCTGAGTGTATGCATCATCAGCCTCTTGGAACTGCTGTGATCTGAACGGAGCATCAGCTCTCGCCTTCGCCTCTGCCACTGCTGCAGCCACGTCCCTCCATCCATGCACCATTGTAGCACAAACACACACACACACACACACACACACACACACACACACACACACACACACACACACACACACACACACACCCAAAAAAAAATCACACACCTGAGTGTATGCATCAACAGCCTCCTGGAACTGCTGTGATCTGAACGCTGCGTCTCCCCTTGCCTTGGCCTCGGCCACTGCTGCAGCCACATCCGAAGACAGAGCAGAACCAAGGGGTGGTGCCCCTACCCCCCCCGCTCCCCCTCCTCCTCCTGCAGATGCCTCTCCCTTCTTCCCTCCTCCTGCTCCTCCCCCTCCTGCTCCTCCCCCTCCTGCTCCTCCCCCTCCTGCTCCTCCTGCTCCCGCCGCCCGTTTCATCACTCCATCGACCGTCCAATCGACTTCCGCCACGTCAGCGGGACGCTGAGTCACCGGCAGCAGCAACCCGACAACCTCTTTATTCCCCGCAGCAGCAGCAGCGTCTAGTGCCGTCATGCCATCCTCGTCCCGCCTGTCTGCATCAGCACCGGCAGCAAGGAGAGCGGAGACAGCGGGTGTGTTGCCCGCGTCGGCAGCGACAATGAGAGGCGTGGTGGAGGTGACACAGGGGAGAGGTGAGGACGGGGCAGCAGTGCTTCCATTGGCAGCAGCAGCAGCAGCAGCAGCAGCTGCTGCTGCTGCTGCAGCGTTGGTGGGGAGAGGGGGACCGCCTGGGTTGGGCTGCGCGCCGTGCTGTGGCAAAGGGGAGAAGGAAACGAAACAGGAAGAAGGGGGTTGAAGCAAGGGGTTTAGGAAGGTTGGCATGAGCAGCAGCAGCGGCGGCGGCGTCTAGTGCCGTCATGCCATCCTCGTCGTGCCTGTTGGCATCAGCACCGGCGGCAAGGAGAGCGGAGACGGTGGGTGTGTTGCCCGCGTCGGCAGCGACAATGAGAGGCGTGGTGGAGGTGACACAGGGGAGAGGGGAGGACGGGGCAGCAGTGGTTCCATTGGCAGCGGCGGCAGCAGCAGCAGCGTTGGTGGGGAGAGGGGGGCCGCCAGGGTTGGGCTGAGCCCCGTGCTGTGGTGGGGGGGAGAGAACGGAACAGAGAGTAAGGAATTCAATCAAGCAGGTTAGGAAGGCTGGCGTCGGCACTGGCGTGGATGAGGAGGGCAATGATGAGAGGCGTGGTGTTGGTCGGTCACACAGGGGAGAGGGGAGGATGGGGCAGCAGCAGCACCATTGGTACTACTAGCTGCTACAGCAGCAGCATTGGTGGGGAGAGTGGGGGCGCCTGGGTTGGGCTGGGCGTTTTTGAGAATTCTCAAAAACTCCCTGCAAGAGTGGGGGCGCCTGGGTTGGGCTGGGCCCTGTGCTGTGGTGATGGGGGAAGGGATCAGGGGACTGACTTTGAAACACCGTGCACCTCAAACTGCGTACATGAACCCTGAACGTCAAACCCAACCTCAAACCCTGAACGTCAAACCCAACCTCAAACCCTGAACCTAAAACCCTGAACCTCAAACCCTGAACCTCAAACCCTGAACCACAAACCCTGAACCTCAAACCCTGAACCTAAAACCCTGAACCTCAAACCCTGAACAAAATGCCCTGTACGTACCTTGAGCAGCAGTTTCACAATCTCTGTCTCCCCGGCAGCAGTGGCGGTGAGCAGCGAGTTCACGCCATCCTCGCTGGGCGTGTCTGGATTGGCTCCCCTCGTTAGAAGCACACCCGCTGCAGCCACCTTGCCGTGTCCGCACGCCCACAGCAGCGGAGGCCCGGCGTCGCTCTGAGCGTTAGGGTCGGCGCCGTGGTCCAATAGGAGTTCGAGAATCTTCACCGAACCTGTGAGGGATTATGAGGTTGTCCGAGAGGATTCGAGTCGGCATTGTTGGCCAGTCAGAGCAAGGACTATCATCGCGCATGAAGAAGCAAAAGAAAAGAAAAATACAAATCATGAATATCAATAACTTATGAAGCTTTTTATTTGCCTGTGCTTCTAAAGGATGTGACTACAAGAGTTGGTTTTCAACCCACCATGCCCCGCTGCGTGATGTATCGCCTGCGCGCCCGACTTCTCCGCTGACGTGGCAACAGCCGCCCCGTGCTCAACCAGCCACGTGGCAGCCTCTGAGTGGTCGTCCCTCGCTGCCAGCATGAGTGGCGTCTCCCCCTCGTCATCCTTCACATCCACCGGCACGCCTATCTCCTCCACCATGTACCTGCAGGCATTGAGATATGCACATACACATACACATACACATACACATACTCAATGGTTCATAAAACAGCACAACACACGCATGGATCTCCCGCATCTCCCCCTCGTCATCCTTCACATCCACTGAAACGCCTATTTCATCCACCATGTACCTGCATGCGTCGTTTGATATATACACACACACATACTCAGAGTGAAAGAAACAAAACACACGCATGCACTCAGCTCCCCTGACTCCCCCTCGCCATCCTTCACGTCCACTGGCACGCCTATTTCATCCACCATGTACCTGCACATGCTGAAAATACTCCTATGGGTAGGTGCCTAATTTGAAAGAAAAAAAACAACACGCAACAAAACACACATGCACACACGCACACGCACGCACACACACACACACACACACACACACACACACACACACACACACACACACACACACACACACACAAAAGAACACCAACAGAAACGCCCATCGATCAAAACCCAATCACGTACCTGCACGCATCCACGTGGCCCTTGCTCGCTGCAAAGTGCAGGGCCGTGCGGCCGTTCGCGTCCCCCAGTTCCCTCGTTTCCTCGACTTTACAGTCTATCCAAATGTCACCTCTCAGTCACGTACCTGCACGCGTCCACGTGGTCCTTGCTCGCTGCAAAGTGCAGGGCTGTGCGGCCATTGGCTTCCCTCACCTTCTTCAGAACCTCCCTCGCTTCCTCCACTTTAAAGTCGACCCAAAACTCACCTCCTTAACCCAGCCACATACCTGCACGCGTCGACATGCCCCGTGCTGGCTGCAAAGTGCAGGGCCGTGCGGCCATTGGCGTCCCTCACCTCCTCCAGCACCTCCCTTGCTTCCTCTACTGCAAGCTTCCCCTCGTTACTGTCACCCGCACCACCATCACCACCACCAGCAGACGCGGCGGCAGCAGCTGCAGTATCACTACTGAGCTTCTCATCTACATCAAACTCTGAAAGCATTTCCACTCCCCCCTTCTTCCCCTTTACCTTCCCCTCCGCCTTCCCCTCCCCCTCCCCTTCCGCCTTCCCCTCCGCTTTCTCCTGCGCTTTCCCATCCGCAATCATCACAGCAACGGCTTGTTTCAGCCCATCCACGTCACCGTCTTGGGCAGCTTTCAGCAGCCGGTTGACTTTTTCCCGGGCAGCCCAAGCTGCCGCCCCGTCCTTCTTTTCACCTGCCCCATCCCCACCCTTCCCCTCCGCCTTTCCCGTTCCCCCCTTCGCCCCTCCCCCCGCCCCTGCCTGCTCCGCGCCTGCTTTGGCAGTTCCATTCCCCGCGGCTGCTGCCGAAGCTGATGCTGCTGACGAACCTGCAGCCTTGTTCGGGGAGGTTCGGATGGGTCCGAACCTCTTTTCCAAGGCTTCGGTGTCGGTTAGGGCGGGCCATTTCTGCGGGTGCTGCTTCGTCAGAGTCAGGACGAGTATGGAGCCGTCGATGTACCAGGCTGAATCGGACGGTCGGATCTTCTCGTACAGATCAGGAGCGTTCAACAGTGGGGCGGCGGCGCCTTCCTTCCATGCCACCTGGCAAGCAGGGGATAAGCGTGACTAAGTTGTGGAGGGAAATTTTCGATTACGTGACAATGTCGAAAGACAACCGGCCCGTAATACTACCACGTAGAATGTGACACAATGTAGTGGTTGAATGCAGCAAGGGAGATTGGTTATAAGCTTATGAGAAAGGCGTGCGACTAGCCACTACGGCAGCCAGTAGATAATGACGAACGGGTCTCGGGTAAACGTTTATTGCGGAGGGTACATGAAGAGAAAGGCAAGGAGAGATGTGTAGAGATGGATTCAGGAGTATCAAGGAGTGCCAGACGGTGCAATCCAGGTGAGAAGGGTACAAAGAGGGCAATGTAGGTAAATGGATGGGTACAGAGCGGTAACACACCTTGACGGAGCTCGCCTGTATGTCAATGGACAAGCGCTTTGCAACATCTGAAGCCTTGATTTCTGCTGGCAGCGGGATTCGAACCTCGACCTCTTCTCTTCCGTCCTCGAAGGTGTGCATGGTTCTGGAGCGGGAAAAAAAAAACCGTAACTAACGATGACGGAATAGGTGTGGTAGCGATGGCGACGCGTTCGCTTGCGCTTTAAATGTGTAGCTGACGATCTCAGGATTGACGATTTAGCTTTCTAAAGCAACTAACTCGGAAGGAGCTGGAGGACAAAGATAAATCACGAATGAAGAATAGGTGATAAGGTAGGAAGTCAGTGGATTAAGGACGTCTTATAAAGAGGCACCAAGGATAAACGCCTTCTCGATGATCCCA